AAAAGGAAAAAAAAGGCAGTAAACTCTTTGACATAGGTCTTAGCAGTATTTTTTGAATATATCTCCCTCGGCAAGGGCAACAAAATAAAGAATAAACAAATGGACTATATCAAACTGAAAGGGTTCTGCACAGCAAAGGAAACCATCAACAAAACAAAAAGACATCCTACCGAATGGGAGATGATATTTGCAAACTATATATCCAATAAGGGGTTATTATCCAGGACACATAAAGAACTCATACAATTCAACATTAAAAGAAACAATTTGATTAAAAAATGGGCAGATGATTTGAATTAACATTTCTTCAAAGAAGACATACCAATGGCCAAGAGACATATGAAAAGATGCTCAAAATCACTAATCATTGGAGAAATGCAAATCAAAACCACAATGAGATAACACCTCACCCCTGTCAGAATGGCTTTTATCAAAAAGTCAACAAATAACAAGTGTTGGTGAGGTTGTAGAGAAATAAGAACCCTCATGCACTGTTGGTGGGAGTGTAAAATGTTGCAGCCACTATGGAAAACAGTGTGGAGGTGTCTCAAAAAATTAAAAATAGAACTGCCATAGGACATAGCAATTTGTTTTCTGAGCATTTATCTGAAGAAAATGAAAATACTATTTTGGAAAAAAAATATATATGTGCATCTCTATGTTTATAACAGCATTATTTACAATAGCCAAGATATTGAGGCAACCTAGGTGTTCATCGATAGATGAATGGTTAAAGAAGATGTGAGATATATGTACATGTGTGAGTGTGTGTGTGTGTGTGTGTGTGTGTGTGTGTGTATAGGAATATTAGCAATAAAAAAAAATGAATTCTTGCCATTTGTGACAACATGGATGGACCTAGCGGATATTATACTAAGTGAAATAAATCAGAGAAAGACAAATACCATATTATTTAACTGATATGTGGATTCTAAACAAAACAGAAACAGACTCATAGATACAAAGAACAAAGTGTTGGTTGCCAGAAGGGAGGAATGTGGGGGGATGGGTAAAAAAGGTGAAGGGAAATAAGAGACACTAACTTCCAGTTATAAAATAGATAAGTCACAGAGATGTAATATACAGCACGGGGAATCTAGTCAATGATATAACAAATTTGCACGGTGACAAGTAGTAGATTTAATATGGCATCATATTGTAAGGCATATCAATGTCAAATCACTATGTTGTACACTTGAAACTAATATTGTACGTCACCTATAATTTTTTTTTTAAAAGAGTCACCAAAGAATATCAGCAAGAGAAATAAAATTCCTAAAATCATGTTTTAAAAAGAGATTCTACCATCTTTGTCCAGTGGTATGTGCTTATTTACCTTATGAATAAATATAACCTAGCCTTACAAAACAGTTTAGGAAAATTGAGTCCCTCAGGAAAGGATCCATATCTTTTTACTAAAATAGTCATTATGATTTCTCCATTTAGCAAAGTCTCCCAGTACCTTTGGGTGATTATAACTTACCAGAATGTAGTGTGTACTCTTCTCAGGACCATGTATTATATAATTCACTTAAGAGATTTGGTATATTTTATGTAGATTGACAGATTGTTGCAGTGCTCAAATTCATTTTTATAGTATCTTGGTAAGTTTGTTGTTGTTTTTGGATAATGTAAAACACATTTTTTCCCCTTTAAGATGGTAAAGCTGTGTGTAGCGGAGGGAAATCCTGATACCTTTTATAAACTGCTTTTACTCGTAACACAAATTAACTTCCCAGTGCATAAAGGGAATGCTGGAAAACCCTTGCATGATTAAATATGCCCCTAGAGGATTAAGTTTTTCCACATATTTTTCAAGCCAGAGCTATTAATAATGTTTCAGTATTAAACTTTCTGCATATCCTGATTATGGGGGATGGGGGAGACCTTTACTCATTCTGCCCTTGCTGTGAATTTTTCCACTGTCCAGATTCATAGCACCACAAAATTATATGGAAACATAGGTTTCAAACTGAAAGTTTAATGAAGTCTAACAAAGTATCATCTCTGGTATTATTCCAATTTTTTTTTTTCAGTTTTTGTCCCTTTTCAACCCCATTTCTTCTTTTACCTTACTGGAAAACTGGCACAAAGTAGCTATTTGGGGAACTTTGTGGTTCACTCGGAAATAAATGCTCGCTACACACACACAGTATTTACCATTTAGAAACAGGTCGCTTAATTTCCATGAATGTTTTTCCTGGGATAACATTCTGGTTTGTAAGAAATTTCATTATTACTGAGAGATTTAGTTAAGTGCCTTTATATCCAGGCAGTAGGTTGTCAAATTAACTTACTGTGGTTAATCAGCCAAAGACTACTTTGTATATGCCTTGAGACTATGGTCAACACCCTCATACCCTCATCCCCCATTCCTCCAGTCCTTCATGATCCTAGTCTGCTTGTTCCTTCTAGTCTGCAGGCCTTTTCTTACCAGGCTTGGGTCCGTTTTTGGTATTCCTCAGCCCCTCGATTTCTTTCACCTCTGTCTTTGTTACTCTTATCCTGCCAGTCCCCAAGCTTAGATGGGTCCTTAACCACCTTTCTTTCAAAACTTCTGTTTTCTGTCCTGAGCAGGAGCCTCAGAATGCTCAGCACTCTTCAGGCTGCTGATCAGCTTCCTTTCTCACATTCCCCACACAGCTGTCCCAGAACATCACCATCCTCAAGCTCAGTGCCTCACCCCACCCCTCTCTCTGGCAGCAGACAACCTTGCAGCTTGCTGTTCAGACCTTAGAGCTCCCAGACAGGTTTCCTACATTTATTGGCCATTCAGGTCTCTTATGATGTGAGGGAGGAGAATTGCCCTTCCTTCCTTGTGCTAACTTCTTCATCAGGACTTTAGAGTTCTTCTTTTTCCTCTTCTGAGACCTTTCTCCAGCACTGGAGGGGGCGGTGGGGGGAAGATTTTACTATTATTTAAATCAGTAATACATGCACATTGTTTTAAAAATTCAAGTAGTATAAAGGAATATACAGAGGCAACTACTTGATGCCAGTTGTGTGTATGTATGTTCTTCTAGAGATTATATATGCATAAACAAGCATATACGTATGTACATTTCCCTCTTCCTCTCCTCCTCCACTTTTATTTTAAAAACATTAATACTAGACACATGGTCTAGACGTTGCTTTTTACTATATCTCTATGTCTTAGAAATTAGTTTATATTGGTACTATACAACTGCTTCACTCTTTTGATGGATCCAGATTATGTCCTTGATTATAAACACATTATAATTTAGTTAATCAGTCCCCGGTTAAAGAGTAGTTGTTTCTGATCTTTTGTTACTGCAAACTATGTTGTGATAAGCATCCTTACACATCAGTCTTTCTTCCTGTGCAAGCAGAGCACAAGCAGGAAT